ACAGACCCTGAGCCTGTTCCATTAATTATTTCTCAGCTGTCCCATAGCCTCCAGTGTGTAATCATCTTCACCCACACTGACTTTCTCCCAAGAGGAGCTGCTTTGCTTGATGCTCCATGAAATCTGGAGTGTGTTTCATTCATTAGTTTTGACGGGTTGCTGGTTTGGGTATTTCCCTCAAAAGGTTTCTTTCTTCTGCTCTGCCAGTACAGTTACTGTCATCATTCCTAATTGCAGCTTTCCTAAAATGGCATTTGGCACAATACCCAGCTGAGCTAATACATAGATGCAGTTCTGACCTCACTGGCAATATTTTAAGAACAAATGATGCATCCTTAGAACAAGAGGAAAGGATAGAGTCTTGCAGTTAGCAGAACTTCTGTAACCACGCTGTACACGCAGAGTAACTGGGATTGTTGAGCACTCAGAGTAGCAGGGGGTGTTACATTTGGCCACCTGAGCAGGCAGCATCCACAGGTATCCTCAGAGGAACATGAGCCCAAGGGCACCTGACAGAAGAGACAGCATTTCAGAATTTCAAGTACAGGTGAGATCTGCTTACTCAGGGCATGGCATTTACCTTCCTTGGGATGTAAAATCTGGACCCAGATGATCTACATCCTGCTTCCTGTGTGGATTTAATTACTTGCTCCAGAGCCTTGTTTACAATGAACACTAAAACAAAAAAGTCCTGCTTACGTACTGTCTGTATGGATTAAATAACTTTTCCTGGGGAGATGGAAACAAACTTCTATTCACCCAGGATAGGGCACTGGCAAGAGACCAAAGGAACATTCCACCAAAGTCTAGTAGTGGTGGATCATTAAGTTTATTGAAATTAGTTATAGGAACATGGGTGAACCTGCATCACAGGAGTTCCCTGTGCAATTTGCAGGCAGCAACAATAGTCTTCTCTCCCCTAGCAATTGTGTACTGCTTGTGTCATCTGGGGGAGGGACCTTATAAGTCTTAATTTCCATGAGTTTTCTGAGTCTTGTGGCCTTCCATCTCCATGCAAGAGGGGGGTTTCAACTTGGAGAAAATGTCTACATGGCAGTATGGCAGCTCCTGGGGCAACTCAGAGAACATACACATTTGTGCCCCAAGCCCCTCTGTTCAGAAGCAGATGGTCTGCATAGTCAACTCAGCTCAGGTCAAGGACCTGAGTGTCCAGGTGACACTAGGTATCCAAAAACTGGTGTTATTTTGAGACCTCTGAGCTGAAAGTCAAAGTGTTGATGGAAACATTGCTAAATTGCTATAGGCCATATCCCAGATGCCCCTGCAAGGCTTCAGGAAACAGAACTGGGTAGAGGGTAGAAATCCCACTTAGTCAGATTTTAGCCTCCAGCATCTATGAACATCCTGTCTAGCCTAAGACAGCCTTGTGGTCTTTGGGACTGAGCAGCCAAACATTAGGAATCAGCCATTGTACCTTACATCTTACTCATCAGGGCTTCTGCAGAAGACCACTGAGTATTTACTTCTTGTGAGCTTCTAGAGAAGCCAGTGCCCTCCTTTAGCAAGACTATGCATTGACTTTGTAAGGCCAGCAAACAGGAGTCATTTGTCTGGGACAACTCAGGTCGAAACAGATGGCATAGTTCAGAGGAGGACAAAGCACTTGTGAAAATGACTTTTCCCAATTCAATTTCCAGTTCCATCCAGCCCTGAATCCTTTAAGTGATGACAGGCATAGAAGATCGGTAGCTTTGACGGCAAAATGATGATTAGGTTTTCTAAAATTCTGTTACTTTAGAATTATAGAGCTCAGAGGAGTCACAGAAACCTCCTTGCTCAACAGTCACCTTACCAGAAAAGAGACAGAAGGATGCACAAGTATGCCCTACACATGTGAGCCCCAGGCAGTTGTGCCCTGCACAGTGAGCCTTGCACAAGTGAGCCCCTGGACAGGTGTATCCTGCATAGGTGAGCCCCACGAAAGTAAGCCCTGGACAGGTGGGAAGCCCTTAAGATTGGTGACTGTGTTGTATTAATGAGTTTTCATTTCAATGGCTGGGGTTCAGAAACAGCTTCATATGTAATTTAGTATCTGTTGATGTTTACACCTGAATTCACTATTTGGCGAGGAAACATGTTGATTCCCTAACTCTGACCATTCTTTTATATTCTTATTTTTTACTTTACTTTTTTTCATTTCAGTGCACATCTGTACTCATGATAAACTCAACATTACACAATATTATTTCGGTTAAACTGGATAGATCATTAGGCCTATGATTCAAATAGACCTTAACTCAAAATCCAATGTATGATGTTCTCAAAGAATCAATAAAAGTATTATTTTTAAAAGCCTCTGGTCATTTTTTATACATTCATTAACTAGTGTTCTCAGAGAATTTATCTTCAATTGGAAAAGAACTGCAATTTCTTCTAAGCAAACCCAAGCACTTTTTTTTTAACCTCTATTCAGTACTTAATAACTTAGTAACTAGATTTCCTATCAGTTGTTTCATAAACATAGTGGCTGCTAAGGGCTTGCAAATGGGGGATTTAACTGTTAAAATCAGACTATGGAAGATCACGATGCCATTGAAAATAATCATATTCTACACAAATAACATGAAAATGTGAGAACATTGTTAGATGGCAACACAATGAACAATACCCTACTTTGTGGAAAGTTGTCACCTCTCCTTGTTTGTGTATGAGCGTGTGGAAGCAGGTACTGAGTGGACCCATTAGGTCTCTAGGGGGAAGGCTCAGTAATCTGAGGAATTAAAGGTAGGTCTAAAAGTTAACTGTGTACCTGCTTCTGCAGCTTTTGGTAGGGAGTGTCTGAGGAATGCTATCCCTTTCTCCCCTGCTGAATAAGATAATGCAGGGACCTGCACTGGGCAAAAGGGAGGGTTAGACATGGCAGCTGGCCATTGGCTGGTGCTGGATAGAGAGGGCTACCTAGGAGCCTCATAATGTGGCTCTTCATATCAAGCTGTCCCAGCAAGATGGCCTGGAGTACCACTAAATCTCCAACTCATAGGAAGCACTGAGGCAGATCCAGTGAGGGAACCTCTGAGCAGACAGTGTTGAACCACAGCCCAGAGTAGCTGCCCAGTTCCCCTCACCTCAGCCACTACTCAGCACTATACTACAGCCCTGATGTCATATCTGAAATGTGGGGTCTCTTTGAGACTTTACCCTAGAAGTATGAGTCTGAAGGACTTACATGTGCCCTCGAGCAAGCCTATCACACTCCTGGCTCTCCCTTCCTGGAGCATGACTCGGGAAGCGTGACACAGCCATAGCATCAGAGGAACTCTTAACTCTGTGTCCTGCCAGATGGCTGTTCTGGCCACAGCAAATTCTATACAAGGAATGGCCAGGGTACAAGAAGTACTTTGTCTGGTTTCTCCTGAGGTAAGGAAAAAAAATTCTATAATAAAAACTTGGACTTGATCTTGTGTCTCTATCAAGGGCCAGTTGGGTTGCACTGACTCACGACTGAGGTCCTCACCATTTTTCTTTCTGCTATTAAGAAGCAATAATTTTCCAGTTTCTCTCTTCTAGGTCCTTCCCAACTTCTCACATTAAAGCAATCCTGCACTCATAAACCCCTTTCACAGCAAATGGGACAGAGCCCAGAAGGGAACCGTGAGGCTAAGTGTGTGGGGTCCGCCTCTGTCTACTGTATCAGTATGTTTCCTAACTTGATTTCCAAGATGTTTGTGGCTGGCTGTTGGGCTTCACATTAGCCTGTCAAAATGGGAAAGCAATACCCAGGAGTGTTTCTGTTGCAACCAGGCAGTGGAGAATCCTTTTGATAGCATCTTCAGGAGGACTTCTGGCTGCTTGCATTGGGCAGCTATGTAGGGACTGCAGAGAATAGCCTCTGCAAACACAGGGACACAGAAGTAGAAGGAATTTATATACCCTGGCCCAATGGCTAGTCGGAAGGTCTTTAAAATATGCCAGAAGAGGGCTGGAGAGATGGCTCAGCGGTTAAAAACACTGAACATTCTTGCAGAAGACCCGCGTCTGCGAATCCCAGCACACATGGCAGCTAACAACTGTCTGTAATTCCAGTTCCAGGGGATCCGACAGCCTCTTCTGTCCTCCGCGGGCATTGTACGACACGGGTGCACTTACCTACATGCAGGCAATACATGCATACACATAAAAATAATAAAATGTTTTTTAAAAGTATGCCAGAAGAGAGGGGGTGCTTGCCCTCAGGCCTGGCTTTTGCTGTGAGGCATTCAGAGACTAACCAGGCTCTGCACCTTGAACTTATCATAAACACTGCCTGGGCCAGCCTGGCCTGCCTGATTCCTGCAAGACATTTTGCTTCTGTGACTAAACTTAAGCTTTTTGAGTATAGAATGAAGGTTTGCCCTTGGTGCTGCTGTCTAACTGATGGCACTACCCACATTGGCTGGGTTTTTCCTTGGCTGCACATGGACACCAACCAAGGAAAGGAAGTCCAAGAAACCGATCTTAGTCACACAATTCTCATATGGCTCCCCTGGGCTTCCTCACACTAGTGAGGTCAGCCCTTCTGAAACAACCCCCTCCAGAAAGAGTAGCGCCTGCAGACACCAAGCTGCACCCAGAGCCCAGCACTTGTGACTCAGTGTCCCATGGGGACCAGCCCAGGCTGTCACAACAGGAGCCCACTCTGCTGAGTTCATAGAACCTGCCCCTTACCTCAGAGCTGAGCAGAAAGACAGACTAAAGGAGGTGAAGCTGAAGCTCAAGCCTCTGGAAAACTGACGTAAGCTCTTTGGGACTATAGAGAGCTATGAGAACAGCAGACAAGCTAGCAACTGTAGTTCACCCCCTTCAAATACATGAGCAGTGGAACTCCCAGAGGGATGTCTGGAAAGATACAGGAAGATTCAAAGCATCAAACCCCGTGGCCGGCTCAGGCCCAGTTTCCTCCTTCTAGAACTTTTAGACCAATGCATCTGTTCTCTTGTCACCCTCCCAGGTAGTGTGTTCTTATGGCCCATGGTTTACACCTCGTTTTTTTCCTCTCCTAGCCTGCACTGGTGTCTGGGATAACATCACATGCTGGCGCCCTGCAGACATCGGGGAGACTGTTACTGTGCCTTGCCCCAAAGTGTTCAGCAACTTCTACAACAGACCAGGTATGGTGTATGCATTGATTCCTGGGCTCTTAGGTATTTGTATCTGAGACTTGTATCTGAGCTTTTCCGTTACAGTTGCAAGAATCTGGGCCTTACTTTCTTAGTAGTGTCTATGTGCTTCCTAATGGCAAGGGAGCCAGGGAACAGCTGGGTCATGGAAGAAGCAGAAAGGTCTCACCCAGGGCAAGCAGGACAGATATAGAGGGAAAGGCTGGGTGATCATTTCTCAGGGTCCAGAACACCAAAAATGTGCTTGAGTGATAATAGAGATGAAGGAGAAGAGGGAAAGATGACCATAGCTGCAGAGAACACCCCCAAAGTTGTAAGGATTGGTAGAGAATTTGTCACTGTACCAACTGTGTTCCTGCTGACTAGTTTGATGTTATCTAGAGTTTAGAGCCTCTGGAGCTTCCTGTGCCCTCTGTGCTCCACTTTGAATGACTCAGGATTCATGTCTTCATTAGAAATGTGTTTGGGAAAGAAGAGAATAGAAGACACAGGCAGAAAAAGGAAAGTGATGCTTTGGAGAACTGTGGAGAATTTTTTTTATTTGGGAAGATGTTGAGAGGTAAAAGCTTTGAGAATGATAATTAGCATTACACTCTAAAGCAGAGAATTGTACACAAGCTTAGATGGAGAAAGGAAATGAGGGAAAAGGCCTGGTCTCCCACTGGGGACCTGTGCCCTTCACCTGCCTCATTTGGTCATCCATGATCATGTTAGGGGCCTCAGTCATTCTCAAGACTGACCTACAGAAACACTCATCTAGCACCAACATCCCACTGAAGAAGGGCTTGGGCTGCAAATGCCAGCAGATAGTCCACCCTGAATATAGGTGGGTTAGGTGTGGCCTGAGTTAGAGGCCTCAGGAGGGGCACCATCAGGGCTGGGAACTAGAGTCAAGAGACTGTGGAGTTGAGGCTGCCCCAGCTGTGACAGTTGTGGGACCACCAGCCTGACAAGAACTGCTCATGCACATTGCCAGACAAGGGATGAGCGCTCAGTGCCTGCTGTTTGCTTAGTACCAGTGAGCAGGTGGCCACCATGAATGCAGAAGAAATTGCAGGGCTTTTAATTCAGAAAGTTTGTTTTCTGCTCAGTAATTACCCAACCTCCAGGACCTTCTCCTATCTATAGGATGGGAGCAGCGGTACTGACCACATCCCCTGGCTTTCAAGGCTACCCTGAAAATAAAGAAGTGATGTGAGGGAAGATGCTTGTTAAACTGAAATGTCCTAGACCCTGTGGGTCCCATGTTTGCCCTGAGCAAGGAGACAGAAGTTCCACAGAGGAGCAGGACATGTGCCCTCCCCTGGAGTTCTGGAGTACAACTCTAACCTGACTAGTTTTGGGCATTGCTGACTTGCCTGTTGCTTTCCTTCCAGGCCTGTCCAGAGCATCACACTCTTTCTGTGTGGTCCTCTGACATCCTTTGTAAACGAAAAGAATGCAGCATTTCTGAGCTCACCATGGATGTGCAATTGCTTTGTTTCTTACGATTTAAACCTTAATCCTGTATTTTCCTCTAACTGATGGCTAAGTAGAGCCTGCCTTACACTGCTTCTTGTGAAATGAAGAGTGAGGGGCAGGCCAAAAGGAGAGGGGAGAAAGGACAGGAGCTAGGGAAGAACAGGGTAGCTAGTTTCAGAGAGTCTGGGCTTGGCCGTGACCACTCCCATAGAGACAGAGCATCACAATCCGCTAAGAATTTTCATACTGCTTCAAAATAACAGCACTTACAGTTATAGCTATTGTGATAATTAATGACTGCTGTTTTTATTGTTTTGTGATATAGTGTGTCCACTTGCTTCTCCCAGGCCTCGCCCAGCCTATAAGGCAGGTCTCAGGGAGGCAACTAGGCAGGGAGGGAAAGCAAAGACTTCCAAATGGCCCCAGTTTCCTGCCAACTAGGGCTGAGGCTTCAACATAGCACATCATCCTTACTAGTGAAACCAGTTTTCAGGTACCTGCGAATCAAACATCTGAACTTTACTTTCCAGGAAACATAAGCAAAAACTGCACTAGTGATGGGTGGTCGGAGATATTTCCTGATTTCATAGACGCATGTGGCTACCATGACCCTGAGGATGAGAATAAGGTAGGTACCTGGCCAGCCATAAAACCTCCACTCCCTGACACTACAGTCAGAGAGCATCCTTCATGGGTCTCCTTTCTTCTGCAGTAGCATAGCTTCATGACCCACAGTCAGCCTCAGGTCTGCTATGGCATTTGGGATTTGCTGGTTCTCCATAGTTTTGGGGGCCCAGAGAGGCAGACTTTCATCACCTGGTCAGCATGTCTGGATGGTAGAGACTTGCAGATGGGCACCACCTTCCTCAAATTGCTCTTCTCAAGTCTCCTGAGCAGCACACATCCCTCCTGCCATCTGGATTTCCTTATCCCATTTATGATTTTGCCACAATATGTATTCCTGGGAACCTTGTGCAATAGTTCTTAGTCTGATCCCGTAGCAGACATGACCCAAACCAGACATCTTTCTAAGTTTAGAGGGTGGGTCTGCCCATGGCTTCTGGTGTTTTATCTCAGGCCACTCAGGCTCAGTGGCAGAGTAGGGCTGCAGCACTCACCAGCAGTTTCCAAAGGTCCTCAGAGTATTACATTTGTGGTAGATCTTTCTGTGAGAATGTGATTGTTGGGCATCTTCCCAATATGAGTACACGTACCCTCAGCCGGGTGCCTCTGTCGGACTCTAACCCAACTCACTTCTGACCCACTCCCCTACCAAGGAGCTCGCAGTCAAATCCCTGGTCAGCTGTGGGAAAGGGGAAACCTGAAACGTACTGTTCCCTATGGTGCACAGAGCTGGTGACCTGGTTCTGTTGTGTGGCATCACTTGGTGACAGTGACTCATAGGAAAGCAAATTTCTGTTCTGACCTGACACTGTGGTGCTGCCTGCCTATTCTGTTGTACATAATCACTGCCTTTAGATCATCTGTGATAAGCCTCTCCCATGTTCTCTGAGAACTGAGTATTAGTAAAACCGTAGGTGGCACCCATCCCCCTAGGACTACAAAGTGTTGCCAAGCACATGGAGCCATTGTGAGATCTGGACTTGGTGATTACAGAGTGTACTGGAATTAATGTCACCAAACCCCACCCTCATATCCTGGAGACCAACTTCAGGAGGTGGTTCACTAACCTTAGTCATGAAAGCCTCTATGAGCACAGTTAAAGTCAAGGTGTTAAGAGCCTAAATTAAAGCAGGGTAAATGTCCTCATCTGGGTCACCTGCACCCTGCAGGTGTGACTAGAAGCCCTAATTCTCATGTATTTCCCTTTCCCCTCTCCATTCACCAAATCCATGAAATGGCTGTTTTGCCCCACTAGTTACTGGCAGCATCCCCAGGGTTGCCCCAGAACCAGAATTATGCTTAGTGTTTCATCCTTTTATATATTGGCCTCCACAAATCCCACCTGGGCAGGGTGTGATGAGGCTTCACACAAGTGTCTTTGGCAGAAGCACAAAGGACAAAGCCTGAGGTGCCTTGGCCTATACCTCCTAAATCTATAGCCCTGGTGGTACCTCTCACGCCTGGATATGGGAATAAGAGAAAACCCAGCTCAGAGTTCAGGCAGCTCTATTCACGAACTCTAAACTCTGGAACATGTTTTCACAGGAGGCAAGAGTGTATGTCAGGCTTCTGGGATAGGCCAAACTGCCCTGAAATAGTCTGATGAGTTCTCTCTAGGAGGCTACCCTGTGTCCTTCTTGGGAGTGTGGCATTTTCTCAGCTCAAGCACTGATTCTGCAAAGACAGCCTCTTAAGTCCTGTTCTGGCATCCGGAGTTCGGACCCACAGTAGGGATGATGGTCATGGAGCAGGGGCTTCAGCTCCAACCCTCTAAAGCTGGTCTGCTGGAACACAGTCAACTGTTTAGGGGCCATAGGAACAAGACAAGAAGCCAAGAGTCTTGGGGCTTCTGTGGGCTGTGGGATCACCTGCCTTGTGAGACCTGCAGCTGAGTTTCGTTTCACATCTGGACATAAGCTGGCAGGTACTGAACAATATCCTAAGGTTGCACCAGCACTGTGTTCCCAGCCCCTTGTACAGATAGATCCCTGTAGAGGTGGGAGATAGATACTCAGGCCTTTATTCTCTAGTACATTCACTTGTGTGAGTGAAGATCTCTGAGATCCTCCATTCTGTGCTGTCCCAGGTTATAAAGAACGACAGAGATACAGGAGGGCACCAGCACTGCAACATCAGCTCCCTGCAGAACAAGACCCCTCTTCTCTTCCGTATCTCTTAGGTCACACCCAGGAAGCATTTCCGGGACACTGTGTGGAAAACTCCTCATGGCCCATTCGCTGCTTCTGAAGGGACCATGATTAAAGTCTGTCTGTGTGAGGCACAGTGTCTGATCCTCTCACAATTTTTTGTCTAGTTTGAAGAACTATTTTTGTTCTTAATTAAACATTTCAGAGATTCTACAAATAGCATAAACACATACTCCCTGATAACAGATTAGAAAGTCAAAATATTTTAATATAAAAGGCAATAGAAATCATGGCCCAAAGCCAAAATGAATAATTCTTCTTCTGAATTGCAGTTTCCACACTTTGAATACTTAGGATACCGGGTTGTTTCACAAGCTTATTTTAAGATGAAAGGATGGCACGTGCAGGGCCATCACAAGTACCCTGAGTACTGGGACAGATGCCAGCTAGGCTCTGGATGCATACACTGCCCAGGCTGATGTCACTGGCCAGTGCAAGCAGAAGCATCTGGGGGATAACCACGCTTAGGAGAAACCTGGCTTTTCCTTCCTGCAGAGGCAGGAGCTTCATCTCATCAGCATTTCTCTTTCTTCTTAGATTTGTTTTCATTAAGTTCCCACTCACAGGTGCTCAGAGTCTCCCACAGGTGCTGTGTATGTGATCACTATTAGTTTCAAAATAAATTCAAGGAAAGTAAGTAGCTTTCACAGAAACCATAGGCTTGGCTATAGATGGGGGAATTAAGAGATAAAATATCAGTATGGGGAATCCCTGTGAGGAGAACGTGTGGGGTCCTCAGGGACTCTGCATGGTGTCCAGAGCCTGCCTCTGTGCCCATAGTTTGCTTGGCCACAGTGTGAGTAGGAGCCTGTGTTATGCCTTTTCCAACTAACTCTCAAATAAAAGAGCACTTTGGCTAAATTTAGCAGAGAATTTGGCATTTCAGCCCATGTAAGTAGACACATTTCTTCCATATTATGTGATGTTCCTAAAAGTATTTACACCCTCTCCTCCCACCATCCTCCACTATGACCACTCTTCCTTCTCAGACTTCTCAACCTCATCACCCTTGATGGCACAGACCATGCTACCACTCTGCTGGCTCCATTAAGGCACCTAACCCTTGACAGCCAATAGGGTCCCACTGTTATCCTGGGAGAGAAAGGGGAATCCCACAGAGGCTCTCCATGTCACCTGTCCACAGCTGATGCCCATGGGACTATATCAGGATGGGAGCCCTAAACAACAGTACCTACTAACTGATGCTCTCCAGCAGAAGCTCACAGAGTCACAGCATTTGTTTGTTTCATTGATGGTTATGTTAGCTCCTCCCAAGTTTTACCTCACATCAAAGGGCTGAAGGATGCATGTGCCTGTGTATTTACAGCACATTGTATACCACACTCAATGCCAGTCAGTAGTGGGGAGGGGAGAGTGCTTGGGGAAGGCAGGGAACAAGATGTGAGCTGTGAACTTGGCAACTTGAGCAGGATGAGCAAGAGGCTGCCAGCAAATGGTTGGGCAGAGAACTGAAATCATAGTGTCCCTCCGGCCCTGAGATTGAACTGGGGTTCATAGAAATGAGAGAAGTTGTCTTGTGAAGCCATTCCTGTTTCAACTGAAATTTCAAACATAGAGCTTGATGCTTTGCAGTAAGCCATTGATTCTCTTCAAGGCCAAAGGAGAACCAAGATGGCAAGAGGCTGCCCAGAGACAGGCAATGGCCCTCCAGGTTCTTAAAGTCCTTCCCTTTTAGGAATATTACTCTATGAAGTTGGAAATTAGTATAAGCTAGAAAATGAAAGGACAGAGGGTTCAGCCTAGTGGCTACTCAGGAAGAGTGCAGGCTGAGCAGCCATGACCTAAAAACTCCAGAGTCTCTAACTGTGGGCTCCTATAAAATCCAAAATAAGTTTCATACTTTCTAATTTCAAAAGAGAGGAACCAGAACACAGTTATAATAAGATCAAAGAAAAACAAAAATTCAACAGTGCAGAAAGCTCAGTGCCCAGCATCTTGGACTCACTCATGACTTTCTGGGCCTGGGCAGTCCCACTTTTCTGGCAGCACACACACAGTTTATCTTGTAGGCTTAGGCCAGCTCCACTCCACACCTGCCCCTGTCCTTGGTGGTCATCCTGTGGTCCAGATATATACAATATCCTGGGTTCCCCACTGCAACTGATGTTGCATCTTCACCAATGGCTTCTCCTGGCCTCTCACAGTGCCAACCAAGCCTCATCCACTCTATGACTCCTTCATGCCTTCAAAATGTGTATTACATGGGAGACTCTTACACATTGCCACATTCAGCTTCTAGCTTGAGATGCAGTCTTGACCCCCTCTGGACCACAGCTTCTGTGTGCTGATGCTGAGGAAATACTTTCCAAAAGATTTCACTGCAGTGAGGCTCGTCTCTTATTATTCACAGCTGATTTTTCAGAATTACTAACTATCATCACCAATAAAGCAAAGGTTTCACTTCACTGGTACTGTTCTCTTACACAGCTGATTCTTCAGCCCCAGATAACAAGAAACCAGACTCTGAATTCAAAATATAACACACACAGCCCTGATAGAGTCTCAAGGGACTCTCAAACTTCCCTCTGAAACTTCACAAGCCAATTCTTCCTTGTCTACATTGCACTCAGCATTATCATCCAAGTTCCCCCAATAGCTCATTAAGCTCTGGTAACTCAGTGACTTTTCCAGCTCAAAGTTTTAAAATCCTCCACCTTTCTCCCACAAAATAGTCCACATGAAAGCCTCATGGTTAGGGTCTTCACAGCAATACCCTCACATTCCTGGCCCCAATTTCTGTCATAGTTTCGTTTCTGTTACTGCAGTAAAATACTAA